CCCTTTGATCAGTTGCCAATCTCTAGCCATTAAGATTTTTAGAGGTGTTCCTATATATAGTTGTATTATTGGCATAGATGATTACAAATGATCTGAGTATCTTCTTAGGCAGATCATTTATGTAAATCAAAAAAGGATTGGTCTGAGGAGTGACCCCTGGAGGACACCTGCATTGACTGTTAGGGTTCCAGAGGACTGGCCATTAATAACTACCTTCAGGGACCTAACCTGTTAGGAAAGATTTTATGATTGAGAAGACCCTTCCAGTTATTCCATAGCTGGAGAGCTTGTGTAATAAATCTTTGTGCCACACCATATCAAAAGCCTTCAAGATATCTAATGCTATGGTCCTTAAGGTGAGTTTGTCATCAAGAGCCTCACTAATTCTGTGAGTAATGGTAGTTAGAATATCAGCAGTGGATTGGGCCAATCAAAAACCATACTGCTCATCACTGAAGAGGTTCTTTTCAAGGTGCTCAACAACCTTCTTATTGATTATAGCCTCAACAAGCTTACTGAGGAGACTGATGAATCTGTACTGAGAAGGAGAAGATTGCATGCCCACATTCTTGAAAATTGGGCATATGCTTGACACCTTCCACAGCTTTAGGATTTATTTCTCCTTCCAGCAGCAGTTGAATAACTTTGCTCAGGGATAATTCCAAGTTGATATTCTTAAGGACAACCATTGGAATTTTGTCTGGGTCAGTGGCTTTCTTAGGGTCAAGGCTTTTGATAAGTATAGAGACTTCTCTTGCTATAATGATAATATTACTGACATTGTGCTCAGTGAGATGTGAAAAGTTAGGGAGGGGATGGTCTTTGTCATTTAACATTGAGTTTGAGGCAAAATATTGTATTGGGTGAATATTTAGCAAAAAAAGAGAAAAGGTGAAATAGAAACTTTTCCATGAGTATGGTATTGAGAATGTGTTTAAAAGAAAAAAAAAATCTAATATTTAAACATTTTGTCAAACTTTAGGATGTGAATTAGACCAAATGCTTTTCAGAACCCCTGGGATATTTTGCTAGGATTATGCTGAAGCCAAGTGATAGAGACATTTTTATTAATGAATATCTAATTTTGACCATTTCCATGGAAAATAAATGCAATCACCAAAATATATATACAGAATAAATATAATTATATCAAGGATGACATCATAAATTGTAATAATTGTGTCTCCAAATCAATAATATAGCAATAATTCTAATGAATTCTAAATAAAGCTAGTTTATCCATTATGTCAAGTAACAGCATATAGATGTTTTTTATTAGCTTTTCAGATATGCAAGTCTTTAACATATATTTTTCCAATTATTATTGTTTTATTCTCTTCTTTCATCTTATCTGCCTTTTTATCTCCCAGTTTCATAAACATCTAGGAACAATCAGAACAAATACATTGACACCTTGCATCTCCAGTGTAAGGGAAATAACTTTAGTACAACAAAATATTAAAGACATTACAGACAAAAATACATAAATACATGTTGTATATTAGAGAGTATGAACAAAAAAAGATAGCCATATTTGCTTTATTACATTTTGTCAACCGAATGAAGACCGCTCATGCAATGAAATGTCTCAGCAAAATTCATGTCAGTTTGTAAAAGGATCTTAAAATGTTTTACAGGTATTCACAGATAATCTGAGTAAATTATATTATGATGTGTATTCAGTGATATTCAAAAGATGCATAGTATCTTAGTATCTTCATATTCAGATGATATGGTAACTATGGAAACTTTATCTTTTTTGTATCCTCTGTTTACAAAATTATTTCTGATGAATTTAACTAATTTAGGAATATTTTAATGAAAGCGCCAAGCTGAATCTTCCAATGTAAACAGATGTATACTAGATTTATTTTAATTTCTAGTTTCCTAATTGAAACAATTCTTTACAAATCTCCAATTATACTTCTCTTTATACTGGAGGATTCATCATGGTGCTTTCATTTAAAATAACCAGAAATTAGTTGAATTTGATTGAATGAAAAAGAAAACTGAGTATATATATATATATATATATATATATATATATATATATATTAGTGGAAAATATACATACATATGCAAAATATATAAATACATACATACATGTATTTTTAGAAAAAAAAAAAAATTCCAAGAGGAAGAATCCAGGTACAACTCAATGTCTAGGACAGAGTAAGGATATAATAAAAATTTAAACACTAATATTCCATGGTCCATGGAATATTAGTGTTTAAGTTTTTTATTTATATATATATATATATATATATATATATATATATATATATATATATATATATATATTTACAACCAGTAAAATATAACATTCTGAATAATTAGATGATTTCAATGTTCTAAAAAGTTAAAACACAGAAAAGAGTTAAGCTAAAAAGATGCTTTCTTTGATAAAAGCGTACTGATAGTTACAAGGATGTTTAAAAAATTAATGAGAAAAAAATTAAAGACAACATATTCAATATATTGGGAATCTATAAATTTATTTTAAATACTCTTTGCAATATTAGTCAAGTTACAATGAAACAAAAATTCTGTTAAACTACTATTCTGTGCATTATTTTTCAAGCCATTTTTAAAAATATTGAAATCAAATTAACTCTTTAAATAGATATAGATTTTATAAAATTAACAAAGTATAAGATTAAAAGTTGATGTGAACATGTTTGTGCTTTTCAGAAATGTCTGGATATATTAAAAAAAAAAAACAGAAAAGTATATTTGTAAACCTAAAATGTAAAAGTATTTTAGAAAAACATTGAAACATTGTGAAAAAAAACAAATTTGTGATTGCAAAAGTTAGTATCTATATGAAAATAGAAATTTTTCTGTTTAATTGTAATAGACTTGATTTCTGGAAACAATTACAAATTATTTTCATGTTATTGGAAGTTTCCACATTTTAATGTCTGATTTTAACAAGAGAAGGTGGCATTCTCTATATTTGTAGGACTTGGAAAACAAGACAATTGAATGTAACGTTTTTACCCAGCTTAACTCATATATTATCACCTTTTCCTTTGAAAACATGTACATTATTTTTCCACAGCCTGTTAATTGAATTAGTATGAATAAGCTTTACTTTTGGGATTAAGATATTTCTCATCAAAAGAAATGGTTTCTTTAAAATCTAGATGCTGGATAGAAGACTATTTTGAAAAAGAAAATATAATTATTTCCTGAACTTCAATCTTTATTAGTCTTGGTGCTTTTCAATTAATTATTTCAATTAACATTCTTATTCATTTGGAGAAGAAAATAGTTGTGAACTTATGCATCAATTGATTGATTTACATTTCTAATGACTCCAAGATTTATTACCATGTAACTTTTCCCTTGCTGTTGCGAACACTTGTATCAATGCATACACTTAACAGATATATAGTTTTAATGAGAGAAAAACTAATGTAAATAGTAATAAAGAATTGTATTAATCTATTATTGTTGTGTCCCTATTTCCAAAGAAACGAATAGTATATTTTTTTTATCATTAAGCATGAATAAAAATTATACCCACTTTCAATTCTTTAGTTTGATTTGATTTGTTAAACAAGCAAAAAAGTCATTTTCATGTGATCTTAATTTGTTTTTCAGATCAATAGGAAAAAAGTAGCTATCAAAGTAATTTTGTTGTAGATTTAAAACAATGGAACCGATTCAGAAGACTAAATTAATACAACTCATGTGGCTGACTTGGTCATTTTGTTTAATCGTAAGTACTGATTTTTATATCAATCTGGTTCGTCAGTAGACATTCTTGGAACTCCATTAGTTAAAATAAAGAGTTATGTCCCTTAGATTTATTTACCCAACAAGGCACTTATAAACAAATGAATTTTTCCTAAGATATCAGCATAAAAAAAAATCATGCTGATATTTAATGAAAAATTCAATTGTTGTTTTTTTTAAATTTCATTTAGAAAAAAAAAAACTTCATTAATAACAATAATAATAAAAAAGACTATTCTTTAAAATTCTTTCTAAAAAACAAGTGAAACTTTTCTTGCAATGATTGTACAAATTTCTTATATGTAATATTTTCATAGTTTTTTTCATAATCTTATTGTTGATATTTATCACATTTAAGTAGTTAAAACCTATAACTATTTCTAAGCAGCATGAACTGGAAATAAAGAATTTGCTTCTGATAAAATGTGAACTTGCATCACAGACCCTGTGGCAAATCCATGTGACATGGTCATGCCTCTTACATTTTTCTACACAAACCAGATGTTGACTGCTCAATGACCCAAAGCAGATTGCGTAAATACATTTTCTGTGCATAGGCTCCATGCATACCTCCACTTTAACCAAAATAAAATGAACAATTTATAGACCAATCAGAGTCAACCCCACTCCAAAAACAAAAATCTTAATTTGGATCCGAACAATGACTACATATTCTATAATTAAAACAAACTCAATGCAGACCAACTTGGACATCAACACCACCAGGCTAAGAGGGTGATGCGACACAGACCAACTTGGACATCAACATTGGCAAGCTGAGTGATGTAATACAAACCAGCCTTCATGTCAACACTAACATGCTAAGAGAGAAACAACAGCCATCAGCAATGTCTAATTTCACCATTCTCTCTCCCTGTTGCCTTAGCAACAGCAACAGATAAAAGTTACTAGTTTTGTATGTATGTAAATAAATTATACATTTATTTACCCATACTGAAATGTATTCTTTTCATTACGTCATGTTTGTCGAGGTGGAGAAGGAATTAACCTCCACAACAGTAACAACAGCAACAAGGTTTTGTCTTCCAGGTTACCTATTTCTGCCTCGGTAACAACATGGATTTCACCTTTACCAGTTTAGCCACATAGACCAAGTGGGAAATAGAGTCAAATATTTGACTAAGCTGAACCAAATCTGCAACATTCATATCAGATGAGTTCCTTTATTTATAACTTCTGTTGCTTACTTGAAAATGGTTATAGAATATAAAGACTTGAATATAAAAAGCAACAATAAGATGAAGGAAAAGCTTGTAAGAAAAAAAATAGTGAAAACTTTCCTCAGTATTACAATTTTTCTTTTTTATTACTTAAATATTATTTTTAGTGGTAATAAAATGTCGGATTAATAAGTGAAAAATCCATTCATAAAATTTTTCTTTTCTTTGTATTTGGGTGATAATTTTAGTTTCAATCACAAATTCATCAGCTAAAATTTTTTTTATTTGGCTTTAAACAAAAAATGTGTTTTGTAAAATGTATTTATCTGTTTTCAAAAACCCATTTTAATATTTTGGTAGAATCACCCAAAATTAGAAACATCTGATAAGTAATTTTCTTTCATTTAAGGTTCAATCCTTGTTGCTGTTTAAATGATATTATCTTTCTGTGAAAGAAGATATATATATTTTTTTTTCTTTCAGGGCTTAGACAATGGTATTCTTGGGCCAAGTTTGTTGGATCTTGCAGGACAGGTGAACACTACACTGTCTCAGATAAACCGTATTTTTCCAGCACAAGGCTTTGGCTTTCTTATGAGTATCATCCTCAGTTCCATTATAACTAAAACAAGTTGCTTGCACTTATACATTACACTAATCTTAAGTATTGGTGCCATCATCAATATTCTCATCCCTTTTTCTACAAGCCTTGGGTGGATGACAGGTCTGTTCCTCCTACAAGGATGCACAAAAGGTTTGCTGGACACATGTAAGTTTAAGTGGTTCTTGATAATTACTTTAAAGTTGTTATTATGATTGTTATAGTTACTAGCATAATTATTTTAAGACCATCATTATGATTATAACAAGAATAAAGAGATATAGAGAATATAAAAAGATATATTACTAGCATTTTAGACGGGTTACCTCCCCATAATTTTCGAAATCGCTACTAGGGGACACTTTCAGGACTATAAATATTCTGCGATAACTTTTATCACTCTTCTTACTTTTTCTGCTTGAGTGACAACATGTAGACCTCTCGCAAAGAAAACTTTCCCTTTGGGAAACACAAGAACAATACATACATACACACACACGTATGTATGCACATTCACTCACTACACATACTTTGGACCATTAGGTTTTCACATTCATTTGACACACACATTTTTGTCTTAGTCACTTGTAACCCTTTATTGTTAATACATTATCATTTGTTTGTACATATATATATTGGTTCTTGTCATTTCTTTTCATTTTTTTACATGGACTCACATCCCAAGTCTACCATGTTTGTTGTGGGCATTTCAGGAGACACATGTGTGTATCTCTCAACACATACACCAGCCCACAACACCTGCAAAAGAAATTATTTCCAACCTTTCTTGGAGATGGAGGTTTTGCTTCTTGAATAAATAAATTAATGGGTTGGGCACTTCGGCATGGTGTAATGGTTAGCAAGCTTGTCTCGCTAGATCAGTTACAACTGAAAAGTGAGTTCGATCCTCACTAGATGCCCCATACTTTCGGCCTTGTGCCACATCTAAGCTACGCTTGGAAAATAACTATAAATTAATGGGTTAATAAATTGCAAGATCATCATATATATATATATATATATATATATATATATATATATATATATATATAATGTAAGATTGAAATAAACAGAAACAAATAGATTTTTCAAAATAACTTCTATATGACTTTCTACTGTATTGCCTGTAACTTTGAGAACAGTTAATATTCTGGGCTTTCACGCATATCATGCTGAATCACTAGTTTCCATATGATCACTGAAGTTAAGCAACGTTGAGCCTGGTCAGTACCTAGATGGGTTCCTGTTTGGGAATGCCAGGTGCTGTAAGCTTGGATGTGTGGGAGATGTAATGAATAGTGGCTTGGAATTGTTAATCAGAGAACAAAGTTCCAATTTCAGTTCAGTATGTTATTTTGTAGAGGGCCATGGCTGTTATGTTGTTGATAGAAGTCAGACGTAGACGAAACGCCTGTAAGGTTCAGATACTCCTGCCCGCCGAGCCCAACTACATAAAAAGGTTGGACTTTGATTAAGTCCAAAGAAGAAGGAAAAGGAAGCAAACAAAACAAGACCGATAATATATGTATATACAAATATATATTAATAACAAGTTACAATACCGGGAAACAGTACAAAGGATGAAGTGTGTGTGAATATTCTGTATGTGCGTGCGTGCGTGCGTGTGTGTATATTGTGCTTAGCGTGATTTCACGCTATTTCTTGTTAGGGACTACATTTCGAGGTTGATAGTTGAAATCCTCTAGGAATAAGAGAGATTACCTCAAGGTATCAGTGCACAGGCCTGAAAGGAAAAAAGAGATCGAGGCGAAGGGTCATTGGCTATTTATAGCCAGGAAAGAGAGACCCCTGGTGAAAGGGTTACGAACTGAAGGAGGAGTTAACTCCGACAATATAAATCCGCCTCTTCTCCCCACAGCTATAAGTTAATTAGTAAGACTTGTATCACTAAATCATTATTTTTTTTAAAAAAGTAAAAAAAAGAATTTCACAATTTAAAAATATTTTCTGGCTTTAAATAAAGTCCAAGGGTTGATAAGCCATAAAAAATGAATAAATCATTCAGTCAACATTCTAAACTTTGTTTAAACAACTGAATTTCTTTGTATTCTTACTATGTTTCAGCAGATTCATTCTGCAGATTTCTTCAAGTCTATAATTCATAAGAAAGGGGTTTTTTATTTACAAATTATAAACCAGAAGAAAGCTGCAGAATGGATCAGTAAAAATGTGGTGGTAGCATTATGTTAATATTAACAAAGTTCAGAATAAAGTTCACTGACTTTTTTTTTCTCTTACAAATGTTTCTTTTAATGCTATAAATAAGATTATTTAACACTATCAATCTTGCATTGTTATAACATTATTGCCTGGCTGTGCTGGCCTGTCTTTGGGAAAATAGAAAATTTCCACTTAATGGATATAAACAGCTATAAAACCGACGGCAATTTCTCATGGACATGTACAGATATTCTGCAGTACAGATTAACTTAAAACAACACCCCCACCTAAAGACATAATATAATAAAAATATGTGACAAAAAAGGTTTTATTGCATGCTACTATATGTGTAAGTTTGGAAATAGTACTAAGTGTAAGTTAGTTTATAACACAAACACTAAGAACTGATATTTCATGGTCTCTTGAAAAAAAAAAATATATATATATATATATATGTCAACAGCAGGCAATATAACTTTTATAAAGATGTATAATTACATCTAAAGTGCTAATATATATTGTCAATGTGATGGAAAACTACAGTGAGGTTTATACTGCATGAATTGTACGCCATTGGCAAACACAAAAGTGCAATCCACATTCAAATTATGCTATTTGAGTAAAAAAGATTAAAAATGAAGACTGAAATATTCCAAAGCCTAAACAGGCTTTGGAATATTTCAGTCTTCATTTTTACCTTTTGTGATCACAAGGGCTGGTTTCTTCTTACATTTGGGCTCAATTATTTTAAATGTGTCCCTCCTGGCAAGTGGCATAGGTGAGATTGTCATCTCATATGTTGCTGCTATAATCTTTCAGAAACACATTTTTTACTGTTCTGATACGTGAAACTTATCCTTTTTACTCTTCCTTTTGCAGTTGTCTACACACTCTGCTTACGTCTCTTCCCTGGAGAACACAACTGGCAAATGCTATGCATTCCCATTGCAGAAGCATTTTCTGCATTTCTCATCCCATTTGTTGTGAAACCATTCCAGAGCCAAATGTTCATCAAATCCGGAGCAAACATCACTTCCCTTTCAAATTGCACAACTGACACTTGCTACGTCACTGCCTCTCGGATTGCTTACCCTTACATGTTCACAGCTATCATCCTCTTCCCTGCCATTTGTGCATTTGCTTATTACTCATTCCATGAGAAATGCAGCAATAAATTAGAAGAAGAATATGACAGAATGTCCGACTCTCAAACCTGGTCAAAAGCAAAATGGAAAGAAAACTGGCCAATAATTTTACTCCTCTTCTTTTTTCACATTCCAGTTTTTGGTAGCATAATTGCGTTCAGTGATCTGCTAACTTTGTATGGCTCCTCCGCACCTCTGTTTCTTGATAAAGGAACCATGGCATACATGACCTCCATGTTTTGGGGTTGTCTTCTATTTGGTCGATTAGCAAACATGATCTTGTCTAAATATGTCCATATGGGAATCCTCTTGTGTATCAACTTTGGAGGTTTAATCATTTTCACCTGTTTGCTGATTGGTCCACAAAATAATGCTGATTATCTGTGGGTTGGTACAGCAGGCTTTGGAATATTCCAGTCTTCATTTTTACCTTCTGTGATCACATGGGCTGGTTCCTTTTTACATTTGGACTCAATTGTTTTAAATGTGTCCCTCCTGGCCAGTGGCATAGGTGAGGTTGTCATCCCATATGTTGCTGCTATGATTTTTCAAAATTTTGGACATCCCAATCTCATGTTCTTAATTTTTATTTTCAGTATCACGGAAGTTATTCTCTTCTCTGCCATATCTTTTATTCACTGGCTTCATAAAAAACAAAATATAATTGCAGAAGATGAGTCTTCATAGTAAAATGACCTTGTTTTATATCAAAGCAATTATCAACCTAGGCCTCCATTTCTGAATTTAGAAAATAAATCTACTGGTCTATTTCTACTCATCTCTTAGAAAAGCTTTATAACATGTTTGCATTCAGATTTTCAAAATGAACAATTCAACAATTAAGGATTCAGTTATTTTCTACATTCTCAGTTACTGACTTCAACATCAAAATTATGTATTTTATACTTTAAAAAAATGATGTAAAACTTCTTCTAAGTAGAAACAATTAAAAAAATGTCTACACAAAATAAATAATAATAATAATTATAATAAATAAGTGCTTGAATATTGTAACCTAAAAATATTCTAACAATAGTCTATCCTGGATATGTTTATTTTCATACAATAATGTTTTTTGAATCTTCATTATAAATTCTCTTTTATAATAGAAACTCATAAAAATAAAATATAAATTTGCAGCCAAGACTGTGGAAAATTAGTTAATATTTCTGTTGAAGAAGGAATAAAAAATAAACCTCTAGTAAGTTAACCTTCTGAATTATTTGTTCTTTCTATAAAGAGAAAAACTCTCATGTAAGATTACTTCATTATTTGGCAAATATGAATGTTAATAAGATTTGAAAAATAAGAGAAAATTGAATATGTTTTGACACATAATAGGAGTAGATAGGTTTGTCTATTGCCCAGTTCACACTCCTCCTTGGACTTTTGAACAGGAGTACAGGTTTATCCAATGTTCCTATTTAGGATTGGGTTTCTAGTTACTGCTAAAGTCTTTTTCATCTCTTTCACTTCCAGTGGCTCCTTGCATTTTGGTGGCATTACCACCTCACTTGGGGTGGTGCCCTTACTCTTTAATCCTCTACCCTGAGTTGCTCTTGAGCCTTGTATAGAGAGAACATCATTGTAAAAAAAATGAAAAAATGTATATTATTATATCACAAACTTATTGATTTATTCATTCATTTTCTACAGCTTATCAACCCTTTGCAGGTTATTTAAAGCCAGAAATTATTTTTAGATTGTAAGAATGTTTGTGGGGGGAGATAACTTAGTGACACAAGTCCTGCTAATTAACTTATAGCTAGATGGATTCATACCTTTCCCAAGGGCATTTGCACGTAAGTGAATATAACGAACCCAACTGGAATTGGAACTAAGCTGTCCACTTAACAATTCTGAGCCATTATCCATTACACCACCCACACATCCAAACTTACAGCACCTGATATTCTTAAGCAGTTACCCATCTAGGTACTTACCAGGCTCAACATTGCTTAACTATATCACAAAGATGCTGGAAGGAAATCAAGATCTAAAAGAAAATTGACACTCTCAACCCAACAGATATGCCAAAACATTAGAGACAGCTAGTTCTTTCCTTCTATGACAGATAATGACAGTTATGCATCATAGCAAGAAGTCAAGGCATAAATGTATCTATTCAGGGCTGTACATAAGATGTGTACTTATTGTAGAAAATTTAAGTTTGCAACATATATGTTCTCGATGTGATGAGTGCAGAGGCTAATGGATAACCTAGAAAACAACCAAATGTTCTTGGAACCAGTTTCATGTAACCCACACACAATGTGGTGTGGTGCAATATCTGTCTGGAACAAACCATCATTGCAAGGAATAAAATGGCAAGAATAAATATATGCTACACCTGTCAAGATAGACTAGTTTCTCTAATGGTCTTTGCAAACTGTAACAAAACACACCTCATACCATTACAGAACTGCCATCAACACCACTGTCAACAACACCCTATTTACAGGACAGATCTATAGCTTCATACAGTTTCCTCTGTACATAAACTCTATATCCAAGAAGGCTGAAACTGTAACTAGGCAAATGAGTGAATTTTCCATGGTCCAATAGTAATGTTCTATGGTGGTTCAAGTGATGTGCAGTAACCAATGACATGGTGTCAATAATGTTGCCTTGTGAAATGCAATATATACTATACAATCTGTTGACTGATGGATGACACTAATATTGAATTGTGATGATAATGCAACATTCTCGTTCACTAGTTATCATCATCACTAGTTACTAACAGTAAAATTCTTTCATCACCTGTGGGTACTTGCAATTTTATATACTACTGATGTCTGCCTGGAATTCATATATTTCTGGTACAACTTTGCTACTGTTGCCAGAACAAAACCAAGAAGAGCAGCTGTTACTTTGGAGATACTATCTTTCTAACTCCAACAATCAAATGACTTAGTCAGAAAGATGGTACCAGTGTTAATTTCTGTCCAGGTTCAATGGTTGCCATAATAACACTACCTTTTAAGTCATTGAGTCCTTTTCTACAAATGGTAGAGGAGAAAACCGTTCCTTGTACTGTTGTCTAAAAACAATTCAAAACATGATCATTGAGGATTTTCTTTATACTTTTCTAAAATGGTTGAAATTCACTGTATTTTAGTTTTTAAATGTTATAGATCACTCAAGAAATTGTTAAATAAAATATTTGCCAAATCTGTGGACTACTCATGCCAAAAAAAAAAATTTTTTTATTTTTTTTTTAATTGCAAAATTGCTACTCAGATATTGACATATAAACAAAATTCCAATACTCTGATTTTTAAGGTGCATCAAAAACATGTCAATAGATTTGAAGTTGTAGGAAAATTCAGTTTTCTTTTAACATACACATATAAAAATGCTTTAAACTTTGGAGAATGTATAATCCACCTCCAGGAAACAACTTAAGGTACATGTAAGATAATTTTTATAGTTTAGGAATTTAATCTGTTTACCAGTGAAATGGTCTAGCATATAATAACTGTAGTACCAATAAATTGGTAAGAGTATGTACTTCAATTTTAGAGTTCATAAAATAGTGAGAAACATAATATTCTGTGTAGAAATGTTTTGTACCTTTAGGAACATGGTAAATCTAGTGGCTGCAACATTTTGTTCACATTTCTTAAAATAATTTGGCACATTATTACATCTGTATAACAATGGACAGAGATGCTGATCAACTTTTGTTAGATATGCATACTGTTAACAATATCTTTGTGTAAAAACAAGGTTCTAATTGTTGGCAGAACTGGTATACAAAAATTAATTATACAACTTAGAAGTAGTATTCTACTTCTAAGTTGTATAATTCATATGAGCAACTTTTTCACTGTTAATTTCTTTTATACAAACAGTTCTGAAATAGTGAAATTTACCTAAAATGTGCAGGTATAGTGTATATGTACATGTTCAGGACTCAAGGTTCAATGATTCCATACAATGATTTTCCAATAAATTAAACTATCATGAATTTTTAACTAACTTCAAAAGAAAGGAAACTTTTATGCTATAAGCCATAAATAATATCATGTAATTATCAGTCTGAGTTTCTGCTCTTTTTGGTAATCTATTCAAAAAGGAATACATTACCAAAAAGGAATACATTATTCAAAAAGGCTGGAGGCATGGTGGAGTAATGGATAGCGGCTCGGATTGAGGAATCAAAGAGTTGAGTTCAAATTCAGTCAAATCCATTACATTGACTTATGTGCTAATACCCTTGGGAAAGGTATGAATCCTCTTCTTCTGTCCCCCTCTATGAGTAAATAGCAGGACAGATCGGGTTCTTTAACTTTAGATGGCAACTGGTCTATGGCAGAAAGAAATGGCAACCTATTGCAGGAAAAATCAGCCTCGTCAGTCATGTATCAAAAGACACATGATCTCCTAAGCATGTATCACATATGGCTGACTGACTGATTCAAAAAAGGAAACATTTGCCTACAAACATGAAAGAAGGTAAACAGTAATTGACTAATAGAAGACATACACCTTATATCTTCAAAATAACAGATTAACACAGTATGTCATAAATTTGATATATTAAATAAGTGCCAACTTAAAACAGAAACAAATATTTTGTTGATATTTTATTAACCTGCTCTCTGAACAACAATTTTCACCAAAATTCTATTATAAAGATTGTATCAAAATGACATAATTCTTTTATATTATTATTTTCAATGGTTTCATTGAATGACAAGATTGTAAAGAGGAATTCAGGAGCTGAAAAATTTCAAGCATGAGCAAAGTTTGAAACTCCAACAGAAAATACTAAATAATTTTTCATTGAAGTTTCTAAAGACAAGTGAGATTCCTGCTTTGAATCAAATAAAACTAATATTGATAAAACTGTTTAATAACAAATTAAGGAACTGTTTATATTATGAATTTATCTGTAGAAATACGACAAAGCAGTGTTTACTTTTATTAAACTGGATGATACCTTATGTGCTTGTATAAAGAACAAACAATGAATAAATTCTGAACATTATACTTGGATTATAAGAAAAATTGGCTACCAAGATTAAAACAATAAATGCAATGTTTATATTAATAAAATTTTACTTCTCTTTTGTATTTTATTTTTCTTTCCTAACCCAATAGTTACAAAAATTTGTTCTCCAAGAAAATTTGACATTTTTCTGATTATAATACAGCATGGTTTTGACAGGTGTCAAACATTCTAAATGACATTTTTTTAAAACATTTAACAGGCCAAAATGGGCCAGTAGACTCTTACTTATTTTCCATTGTATAAAATCTGAAATAAAGCATAGCAATTAAATCCTGAACTAATGATGGCAAAGTAGAACATTCAGATAAAATTTGGAATTTGTAAAATTTCAAATTATATCTGAATTTTGTTAAGAACAACTTCTACAATGAATTGGTTTTCTGCTTAAATAAATACAGTGCAACCTTGGTTCTTGAATGTCTCACATGTCAAACAAATTGGTTTTCGAACAGAAAATTCAAGATCAAAATGCCTTGGTTATTGAACAAAATTTTGGTCCTCGAACAACGTTGCCAAACCAAGTTAACCCTGAGTGTTTTTTTTCCCCAATTTTATTGTACTGTGACTTTTTTCTCTACATTGATTCTTATTGGAAAAAATAGTTTCAGTTTACGAATATTTCGAGTTACAAACAGCCTTTAGGAATGGATTAAATTCATTAACCAAG